AAGGTGTTATATTTTATTATTATTTTTTTTTAGTCACAATTGTAAGGTGTTGTATTTTATTATTATTTTTTATTTACAATTGGAAGGTGTTATATTTTATTATTATTATTTTTTTTAGTCACAATTGGAATGTGTTATATTTATATTATTATATTTTATTCACAATTACAATGTATTATATTAATTATTATTTATAATTCATAATTAAAATGTTTCATATTTATTTTAGTATTTTTTATTCACAATTAAAATATGTGATAAAATATACAAAGAATAATAATAATAATAATAAGAAGAAGAAGTAATATTAGTGATATTAAAAAAGTAAAACGATTTGATGATGTTTTTTTTATTTCTTTATTTCATTTCTCTCGTGTTTCATTTCTATTCCGAGTTCTTCACTTGTTGAAAAGGAGAAAGAAAGAGAGAGAGAGAGAGAGAAAGAGAGAATTTATAAAAACGTATGAGTAAGATAAGGTTGCTTCGAGTGAAACACATAAACATTCTAATAAATTAGCCACGAGTTGACCCGAGACTGTCGCTTTAACCGTCTTTTCCTCGACGCCTTCGTTCTCGAATCGGTCGAGTGTCACAACACTACGCTTTAGACCGGTGAAAGGTCTTCGTTTGTTGATAATAATTTCTGATCGAATTCACGCACTATGGATTAACGTGATTTAATTTGAATGCTTTGGTTTTTTCCCCTCTCTCTCTCTCTCTCTCTCTTTTTCCCCTCCTTTTTTTCTTTCTTTTTCTAAGAAATTTCAAATATTTCCTTACATTCACATTTTTATCTCCACTTGTTTTTTCTCTTTTCTTGTTTTTTCTTTTTTTTTTTCTAAATAAATAAATTAAATAAACATATATATATATATATTTTTTTTTTTAATAGGAGAAATTAGATAATCGTTGGATTTATTTTATATTTGATTAGAATATTGTGTTCGTGTTTTATACTGAAATATATTTTTATTTTATTTTAATCGAATAAATATATAACACAATTGAAATAATTTCATTGATTTAATTTATTGTTGAAAATTAATATGATAAATGAATTATTTCAATTCATTAAAATGTTTTACAATTAACTGATAAAAATATAGGAACAAATAACAATATTTAATACAATTTTTAATCGAATGACTGTATGACACAATTGACATAATTTCATTGATTTAATTTATTATTTAAAATGAATATAATAAATGAATTATTTCAATTCATTAAAATGTTTCAAGATTGACTGATAAAAATATAGGAACAAATAACAATATTTAATACAATATTTAATTGAATAACTGTATGACACAATTGAAATAGTTTCATTGATTTAATTGATTGTTTAAAATGAATATAATAAATGAATTGTTTCAATTTATTAAAATATTTCAAGATTGACTGGTAAAAATTGGAGAACAATATTCTACAAGTTAAAATAGGAAGGAAATGTTTCGTGAAATGTTTCATTTCAAATGCTTTAAATAAATAAAATTAAAAGAAAACTAAAAATAGATTTTTCCTTGTCGATCACGTAACTTTGTATTTATTAACTATTTTGAATGTTGAATATATTTTACATTTGATTGAAGTAGTTCGTAGAGCACTCGTATTAGTTATGTTGATTAATTATATTAAACACAATTAATAATAAATTATCATTGAAATTATTCCGAATAAAACAACACAAGAAAGTTGTTTTTTTTTTTTATTTTAACCAATATTACATTACTTGTAATCAAATCTACAAACGCATATATGCGTCCATAATATTCAACTTATTTTCAATTACATAATTTCAATTGATTTTGATTTATATGCGAATATTTTCATTTTGAAAAACAATGAACGTTTATAAACAAATTGTTAATCTTTGTTAATAATATTTTTAAGTAAAACATTCTATGAAACATTTACGAACCAACCCTATCAATGATTTGTTTATCATTTTTGTTTAACTGTTTCAGAATTAATTCCAATAATTTATTACAAACCAATTGAATTTATGAATAATATTTTCTTATCAAAGGTTTTATAAATAAATTCACAATAAATATAAATACTATTACTCGTATCAATTTTATTTATTAATCAATTCGTAATAAAATATTTCTAATCGAATTTTAAATAACATTATTTTTTTTTTTTTTTTTATTCATATTTTTAGTTGTAGTATACGTTTTTGTAGTTTAATCAATAAATTATGAGACATTTTGCATACAGTAGGTGATTAAGTATGAAATGTACGATTTCGAATTTGAAAATCATTTGAAACTATTTAACCTTTTATAATAAAACAAAAAAAAAAAAAAGACAAAAAAAAATGTATATATAATTAGATAGGTCAATTAGATTCATTCAATTTCGTTCTTATTTCATTTATATAAATAATAATCGTAGACGAATATTTTCTATTTGATTTTTTTTTTATTTTTATTTTTTTTTTTTTTTTGTACACGTGTCTATCCAATAAATTATTCATACGATTCTTCTAGTCATTAATTTTTCTATTACGTAGATTCATTATTCATTTAGATCACATTAAAATTTATTCACTTAAAGTATAATGAAATTTTTGAAAACACATTTAGTCACATTCGATCGCTATTGATTTGAATACATTTTTCGAATGTGTTGTGTTGTTTACACGATTATTTATTAAATCGTTGCATATAGTTTATCTCACTTGTAATTTTTATTTTACTTGTAATAATAGAATTGCGTAGTTTGTTAATTTTTATTGACGTAAATAAGTTACGAAAGAATATATGAATAAAATTATTTATTTCCTTCATTTCATTTTGGTATCAATCGTATTTTACGAAGTTTATATATGTGAAGGTTATTAGAAATTTAAATCATTAAACTATAGAGTTTATAAATTAAAGGTTTTATTTTTTTTTTATTGATGTGATAGATCAAATTGATAATATTTGATAAATTCAAAAATTGAATTATTATTTTTCTATGGCTCACAATCAGTCCGATACACACGTCTTTAAGTCATAATTCGCAATAAAATAATACTGCGATTATAAATTGAGATATAAACTATCGTATCTTTTAAGTTAAATAAAACTGCACACAGTGTGAAAAATTTGATTAAAATCGGTTTAGTAATTTAGGAGTCCATTGCGGACAAACAACGTGACACCACGTAATTTATATATATTAAGAAGATGAAGAATTTGAAATTGAATATCACGAAGTTAATATGTAAAGGGTATTAGAAAATTAGATTATTAAACTATAGTTTATAAATTAAGGTTTTATTATAGATGTGATAGATCAAATTGATTATTAAAAATTATATGTACTATGTAAATTATAAATTTGAATATTGAATTATTATTTTTAATTTAAAATAATTAATAATAATGTTAAGTGTAATAGAAATTTGAAATACTGTATGTGATATGAATAATTTGAAATTTTCTTTCTTTTAAATTAACATATTAAATTATAACATTATTAATTTATTTCATAGAATTGTTTTTAATTTAAATTGGAATATTTAAAATTGAAATATATCAAATATTTTTTTTTTTCTTTAATATAATATAAATATATAATATAAATTGTATATAATCTAAATATATTTATTTATGATTTGTATAAAATGTTTTAAAGATTGTATTTGTAAGATCTAGTAACTGAAATCTTATTTCAAGATTGGATCGTAAAATATCGGATATCTTTGATAGATAAAAGTCTCTGACGAAACTACGAATTTGAAACATTCGTCGGTTGAATTTGACGTAAAAATAAACTAAAGAATGTAAGAATTTAGTATCGATTTCCAAGATAAATCGATTTATACGATCGATCGATTAGAATCTTATTGCAAAAACGATGTAAGGCTTGGAAGATAAGATTGAGAAATGTTTTCTATCATGAATAGAAAACATTTTTCAAGAATTTATATGTTTCATCATTAATATTTGAAATGTCACAAAAAGGAATATTATGAAAGAACAGAAAAATTGTTTAACAATCTTATTAAAAAAAAAAAAAAAAACATTCTTAAATCATTTATATTTATCAGATTATTCAATAATCAATTTGCAATAAATTTATCTATAAAAAAAAAANAATGTTTTCTATCATGAATAGAAAACATTTTTCAAGAATTTATATGTTTCATCATTAATATTTGAAATGTCACAAAAAGGAATATTATGAAAGAAAAAAAAAAATTAGAAGATTAGATTATTAAAAATATCACAAAAAAGTTACTTCATTTTAATTCATTTCAAAAAAATATTAGAAAACACAAAAATATGAATTCAGGATAAGAATCTGTAATTAGTTGATTAGAAATTGAAAAGATAAGTTATGTAAATTTAGTACGAAAGATTAGATAATCAAATTTCAATAGGTATAATTG